ATGAGTTTTGAAGCTCGTATAGAAGGAGCTGAGGTACAGAATTGCTCAAGCACTGAAAATAGCAATTTTTCAGTCAACATTGCAACTCAAGGACCAGGAGGTAGAGGCAACACAAGAGGAAGGGGAAGATCTTTTCCTCAAAATCAGAACTCCAGAGGGAGAGGGAGATCAGGCTTTAGTGGAAGAGGCCGTGGCAATGACAATGGCATGCCAAGATGCCAAATCTGTCATTACAACACCACACAACAGAGAAGTGTTATTATAGAGCAGATCTCAGCTTTACACCAAGCAACAGGAACTCCTACAACAACAACAGTGGTTCTCCAAATGTCAATGTCACCAGCCTTGGTAGTGATGTGCAAAGTTCTCAAGATGGTAGCTGGTACCCAGACTCTGGTGCTTCAAACCATGTCACAAATGACCTAAACAACCTCAACAGTGCATCTGAATATCAAGGGAGAGAGAGAGTGCAAGTTGGTAATGGGACATGTTTGAATATCTCTAACTTTGGTAGTTTTATACTTCAATCTGCTTCCAAAGATCATTTTATTTTAAAGAACCTCCTCCATGTATCTAAAATCACAAAAAATCTCATCAGTGTTAGTCAATTTGCTAGAGAAAACCATGTGTTTTTTGAATTTTTTTTTTCCTTCTGTTTGTTTTGTGAAGGATCATTCATCAGGCAAGATTTTACTCCAAGGAACCCTTGAACATGGCCTCTATAAGTTCAGCCTTTCTAAGAAACCTCACACTTCCTCATCCCATCCAGATCATGAACAAGTCAAGAATAAAAGTTGTTTTTCTATTATTTCAGTAGTTGCTCAGAACAATAGTTGTGATGATCTTTCATATGGCATTATAGATTAGGTCATCCTTCCCTCAATCTTGTTAAGAGGGCCCTCAGTAGTTGTAATATCTCTTTTAATCTGAGCAATGAAAACTATCTTTGTGTTCCTTGTTTGCAAGCAAAGTCACATAAGTTGCCTTTTTATTCTTCAGATTTTACATGTGGCTTGTTTGATCTTATTCACACTGATCTTTGGGGTCCTGCCCCCTTGCAGTCCTTTAGTGGATTCAAATACTATGTCAACTTCATTGATCATGCCTCTAGATTCAGTTGGCTTTACCTCCTTAAAAACAAATCTGACACCTTTCAAGCCTTCTCGCATTTCAAAAAATTGGTTGAAGTTTCAGTATAACCTCAAGATAAAAAGTGTTCAAAGTGATGGGGGAGTAGAATTCCTTGCCTTATCAAAATTTTTCTTGCAAGAAGGAATCAAACATAGGCTGTCTTGTCCCTATACACCTGAGCAAAACGATTTAGCTGAAAGGAAACATAGACATATAGTTGAGGTGGGGCTGTCTCTTCTTGCTACTTCAAATGTTCCTAAAACTCACTGAGATTCTGCTTTTATTACTGCCACTTATCTAATCAATAGAACACCCTCAAAAGTTCTGAAATTCAAATCTCCTTTTGAAATGTTACATAATTCCAAACCTCACTACAAAATGTTGAGAGTTTTTGGCTGCCAATGCTCTCCCTATATGAAGCCTTACAATTCCCACAAACTTGATTTCAAAGGTACCCCTGTCACATTCCTTGGGTACAACCCTTCCCATAAAGGATACAAGGTTCTCTTGCCAAATAATAAGATTCTCATTACAAGACATATATCCTTCAATGAGACAGTCTTTCCTTTTCAAAAACAATACAAACCTATTATTGCACCCTCTCATCTTACATCTTCCAGCTCTCCCTCCATATCTTCAGCACCACTACTCTTTAAAACAAGTGATAATCCTTCACCTCCTCCACCATCACCACCAACTCACAATCCATCATCTCAATCATCTCAATCCACTCATATTCCACACCAATCCAGTGACCAACCCACCACTCAGATTATGGCCCTTTCAATGTCATGATATAAAGAAATTGGGAGTTTGAAGCAACTCATCACATACACTGACAATGCATTAAGAACATTTTTAATCAATATATCTTTCCCTGCTTCACTAAAAAAAATGTTTTTCCACACTCAAACACATATCTGAAGGTCTATCTTTTGAATCTCTCAATTCAAAGGGAAGGTCAAAGAAACAAATTTAATACTGAAGGTCAAGGAAACAAATTTAATACTAAAAAAATCTCATTCTACTCTATCATAGGTTTTGGCGGTATCTAAACTTTTCTTGAGCTAACATCTATCTAATCTATTAATATATAATAAGGATAAGGATTAACTTAATTCAATTTTAGAAACTATTTCCCGCCAAATTCATTAATGATAGCCTAAAAATAGTAAATTAACATAATTTCCTAAAATTGCTCTTAATTATTTCCGATTAACATTAATTTTTTTATGGAATAAATCATTTTACGCCATTATTTCTGATTTTTATTTATGGAACAAATCATTTTGTGGCTCCATTAACAAAACAACGAGCATTAATTGCACATAATTTCCTAAAATTGCTCTTATTTATTTCGGATTAACATTAATTGTTTATGGAATAAATCATTTTTTCACGCCAAGATTTCCGATTTTTTGTGGCTCTATTAACAAACCAGCAAGCATTAATTGCAGATACTATGGAATAAATCTCCTCATTTTAATTCTTCATATAAATCTCCTCTTTCAAGGCTCCATATAAATCAGCTATATGATAAAATTTTATCAATATCTTTCCATTTAAATAATTTTCATCAATCACTCTTTTCGGTACCAACGTGCTAAACAACAATTTGTGTAAAAGGATATTCACTACCACGATTATTTCTTCACTTCATTCACAACGTTCAGAGAAAATATAGATAAATTTTAGAATACATCGATAATATAATGCCGCCGGTCTGGGATACACTCGATTCCGTGAGTAGGACAAACAAACCTTATTTGCGATTGAAAGCAGCCCAAATAATTGAAACGCATCACGAACGGGAGAGCTGGAACGCATTCCATATACTGTTTCATGATGAACAGGTAAATATTTTTATTAGTAATATCAAAATTATTTCTAATATATTTATATTATGAATTTCATTGATCTTCCATGTCCTTGAAGATTATTATTTCTAATATATTTATTGTTTTATTAATTTTATTATGTTTTATTGTCATTCCATGTCGTTGAATTATGAATTTTAGTGTTATTATATTGTTATCGCGATATTACGTCTTTCATTCGTTTGGATTAAGTAATATTTACACGCTTGGATTATTGAGTTCCAATTTTTGTTTAAAATAAAATATCGAATTCTTTTTTTCTTTTATGCGCTTAAAAAAAATATTAAGCTTAATCAATTAATCAACTAATTAAATATATAATAATACATTTGGGAGATTCATTTCTACAAATTAATTAATTGTGTTTCTATAAATTGTGTTTCTATAATCAATTAATATTTTATGCGTGTATAAATTTTGTTTCTATAATAAATTGGATTAATTAACTGTGTTTCTATAAAGATTAAGCTTAATGACGTACATCAATTATTATAATGAATTAAACATGTTTCTATATATCTATTAAAACTCTCTCTCTCTCTCTCTCTCTCTCTCTATATATATATATATATATATATATAATCGTTTAGTATAAAAAATATATTTAAAAAACTCTATAAATTGCCGATGATTGTAAAACGGAAATCATATCTTCCATGTCGGAAAATTAAATAAAAAAACAATACTAATTCGTTCAAGTATCAGAAATTAAATCAAAAAAAAAAAAATACTAATACGTACAGTAAAAGGAAATTATATCAATACGAACCAAATGCATATATGTGTTTTTGCTTTATTCAATACGTTTTATACTTTTGCAGATTTAATACAAAAATAATTTATATCTTCTACACGATAAAATACAAATGTACAAATCCATAAGATACATTTTGTGGCCGCATATTATGTAATTTTTTTGAGTCTACCAACAAAAAAATAAATATTAATATTTCAATTCATCAATTAATTAAAGTTGGACGTAAAGATTAGTATTTACATTCCTATAAAATACCCAAAATCCTACACCATCCAATTTTTATTCCCTTTCAGTAAGTTTGTAATTAAAAGCCACTCTCAACAATTAAATTAATTGAAATTAATATATATTAAGTGATTCCTATATATATAAATAACATTTTTTATCAACTTCTCCAATTCCTGTCCATTAAAAAAAAAACGCATAGAACTTTTGGAAAATATTAAAAAAAATGAGAGAGTTATTTGATACACTCCATGCAGTTAATAAGCAATTCTAATTATTGAGATGTAATTTGACGTGGAATCCAATAATTTTTTTGAGATCATCTTTCAAGATCGTGAGGTAATATTTTGATTTGTTATATCTGTATTACTAATATACGTAATTTTTTAATTTAACTTATTTTGTATAACTTTATATTGTAGGGTGCGCAAATAACTGCCACTATACATTCTGCGTATATGTGTGCATTTCGAGGTGTATTTAAGTAAGACGATATATATGCACTCAGGAGGTTTTTAATAATGTATAATTTTTTGTCAATGACGATTTTATGTTCACTTTATAAATGTCATACGTGTTATAACAACTTATTAATAAATAACCTTTTAATTTTTTAAATTTTTCCAAAACTTATACTAGCTCGTGCATCGCACGGGTTACATATTAGTCATGAAAAAAGACCAATGTATATATTGGAGGTAAAAGATGTCCGGTCATTTCCTTTTTATTTGCAATCGTCAAATATTGCCCAACGGACGGTACATGGGTGTATTATTCGACAAGACCCATGGACGAATTACCGACACCCATGCAGTTGGCGTTTCTTTTGACTTTGGGTGGATCCATTACTCCCTCTCTCACTCTGAATCACATCTCAGATTTCATTTCGCCAACTCGAAGCAGCATCAAAATTCAGCATATTTACCCAAAAAACAAAATTGGGAATAGCTATTGTTGCATGAGGACGGAGTTCTGTTCCCTCTGAAATTGAACTGCTGAGAAGCTGAGTGATGGCGTCAATCCTCAGTCGCAAGCCGGTGAGAGTACTGGAAGAGGACTCGCCTTCGAATGGTACTCCGACGGACGCGGTGATTTTCGTTGGGATTAGCTTGGTGTTGGGAATAGCGTGCCGACACGCCCTCAGGGGCACACGTGTCCCTTACACAGTGGCTCTGCTGATTCTCGGAATTGGCCTTGGTGCTCTGGGTATGCTTGTCGTGTATTGTTGTTTTCATATGCATCTTGGGTGTTTACTTACGTTATAGTTGATATGAAAGCTACATCACTCTTGAATTTGGTGTTGGGATTTTATCTTTTAGTTCACTATTTTTACAGAATACGGAACACATCACCAGTTGGGAAAGATTGGCAATGGGATTCGCATATGTAAGTTACCCTACAGATTGGCAATGGGATTCGCAGCTTTTCGTTCAACCCCATGTTTTGTTTTGATAATATATCTGCTTTTGAATAAAAAATGGTGCCTCTTCATAGGGGCTGATATTGATCCTGACCTTCTCTTGGCTGTGTTCCTTCCTGCGCTTCTCTTTGAGAGCTCATTTTCTATGGAAGTTCACCAGATAAAGGTTCTCATGCTTAACCTCTCCATTTATTTTGTGCTTTTGTTTTATGTATTACATACATTTGTCATTCTTACTCGCCCCATATGGCGAATATGTTAGATGCTTTTTGCGCGCAAAGTGGTGATGTATGTTGAAGGAACTTAATATGAGCAGAGTTGACTACAAAATTCCTTTTCTTCTTTTCAATCTGTTACCGAACTTTCAAAATCTTGATACAACATAAGATATTCTCACGCGAAGGATAAGCTTGTACTTGTATGAGTTGCTAAGTGACATTCCCATTTGTGTTTCTTCTTGTGATGATATTACGAAACATTAAACAATCGAATGAATTTGAGCAGAGTTCTGGGGTTTGTAACCTGCCTAATTCTGCCTTGTTACTGCTTTACCATTAATAATCTTTGTATATGTAGGTTTTAAGTCCATTTTCTGCAATATGCTGAAGGTTTTTGATGATTGTTACTTCTGTTGAACTGTTTGGTCTCATTTTTTCCACTCACTACAGAGATGTATAATGCAAATGTTTCTACTTGCTGGACCTGGAGTGGTCATTTCAACCTTTTTCATTGGGGCTGCTTTAAAGGTATGAGGAATTCTCTTTATTTTCTGCTGACATTTGTTTTTATTTTTATTTTTTTTATTTTTTTTTTTAATTCTGAAATTGGATAAAATGTAGCTTTTTTTCCCCTATAACTGGAGCTGGAATACATCCTTGCTGCTTGGGGGCCTCCTCAGTGCTACTGATCCTGTGGCTGTTGTGGCTCTTCTGAAAGAACTGGGAGCTAGCAAAAAACTGAATACTATAATTGAAGGAGAGTCCTTGATGAATGACGGGTATTACTGTTGATAATTGCTGTGACAAATGAAGATTCAATGCCAGAGACATTGCTCAAATAACCAATGTTTAGCTGTTTAACTAAGAAATGCCTTTTGCTTGATTTCTTTTTGTGGATATCTAAATATGGTTGCCAAGCGTTCCCAGTAAATTAATTCACTTGTGATTTCAGGACAGCAATTGTGGTCTTTCAGTTATTTTATCGGATGGTTCACGGCTGGAACTTTAATTGGGGGGCATTAATCAAGTTTTTGTCACAAGTCTCTCTTGGAGCGTAAGTTCAAACATGTTGGGTTGAAAATAATAAGTCAACATTGTTGCTCATGTTCTTTCATGGAACAGGGTAGGTATTGGTGTTGCTTTTGGTGTAGCATCTGTCTTGTGGCTGGGATGTATATTCAATGACACAGTCATTGAAATTTCTTTGACAGTTGCCGTGAGCTACATGGCCTATTTCACAGTAAATATCTCGCTAAGCCTATGCACCTTGGTCATATGTTCTTCATTGTTGATTTGGGTGATTATATTGCGTGCATTATATCTTTACCTTGCACTTATATTTGACAAAAGGTGTAATACCCCATTTTTTTGGTCTATTAGTTATGCTGCATTAGAAAATGGTTCGGTCAATATTTTCTCAAATCTATAACTAATGTTCATTATGCTTTCCCACCGATATGAAATTACCATTCAAAGTGTCCTTGTTGTCATCATTGTGAGATATATTGAACAAGCAAACATGCATTTCATACATTCTGCAGTTCCAATTTTTACTGGATAATGAGTTACGATTAACATAAAGTTCCAAATGTTGCTGTACATTTGTGATGCAAATTTTAATAATGTGCACACATACACACGCGTATGCACCCACACCCACACATATATTCCACTCCTATTGTTACTAGTTTCCTCAATGCTTTGATCTCTGTTGGGAACCAGGTAAACCGTGACTACTGTTCATGTGAAATGTTGTAAATCGGATTCACAATAACTAATTATGTCCCCAGGGAATATGAAATGCAACTTGTACTTGAAAGATTGAAATGTGTGACCTAGCACGAGTTGATTGCCAGCTGTTGCGTTTTAACTGGCTTCGAGCCTTCTAACTTGAGCTGCTTGACTGAGAATTTTTGAAATGTATTATTATGGTCATCTCAGTTCTCTCCGTATCCTTGTATTCTATGTGAGAGAAACTGAGGAACATTGTATGTCACAGGCCCAAGAGGGACTTGACGTCTCTGGAGTTTTGACAGTCATGACTTTGGGAATGTAGGTTCCATTATTTTCTTAAGGTTGATAATACAGATTGCAAACAGTTTCCCTGAACTGAGAATTTGAGATGCATTGGCAGGTTTTACGCTGCTGTGGCTCGAACAGCCTTTAAAGGTGAAAGTCAGCAAAGCTTGCATCATTTTTGGTACTTTCCTCGACTCGTTGTCTATCAGGTCATATGTTTGACTAATAATTTATGTTCCAATTTTCGGTAGTAAACAATGTAAGCCACCTCCCCAAGATAATGGCTAAGGCCACTAAGTTTATAGGATATGTATTGGTCGCCTTGCGTTTGATTAATTTTTTATGTGCTGGTTGCAGCATCCTCTTCAGCTCTCCTTGTTTGTAATAGCACCTACTGGTACATCAAATGCTACTGAGTTGATCTATTGCTCAAGCATTGCATTAGTTCCATTACACAGAATATCTGAAGTTGAATAACCCACACACTTAATCATATGCATCTGAGTCAATATTACCGGCATTGTCCACGGTTTTTGTTGGCTCCTATAACTCTCTCCCTTTAGTAAGTTCTGTCATATTTGCTGTGGCTTAATTCTCTTATGCTGCTTTAAATTCGAGCATTGGGTTTTTGTTGGTTCGTATAACTCTCTCCATGTATTAAGTTCTGTCATTTTTGCTTTTGCTTAATTCTCTACTGCTGCAATAAATTCCAGCATTGGGTTTTTGTTGGCTCTTATAACTCTCTCTATGTTATAAGTTCTGTCAGGTTTGCTTTTGCTTAATTCTCTACTGCTGCTATAAACTCCAGCAATTGGGGTTTAATGACTTGTAATATTTGTTTCAGGGATATGGTTGCTTATATTGCTAACACATTGATCTTTATCTTAAGGTAAGAACAAGTTGAGCATTCTTTGCCATTCTGAAACCATTTTGTCTCTCTTAATTATATATGATGATATTATCATCTATGTGCATTGCTAATTAAGCATGTGGTAATAAGACATCACATTCGCAAGTATAGCGTTGTATTATGACTTATCTGTACATGTTGTGGTTCAACTTCATACCCATCACATGACAACTGTTCAAAATGGATAAATGTAAATCACTAATCCATTTTTTCCCAAAAGATAGTCCACATTTCCATTGAATGTGATAGAGATGAAAGAATAGAAGGATATCTTTCTTGGAAAATCTTATGCTGATTTTCGGGATCTTTATTGGTGCTTAATCTCAAGGCATTTGACTGGTTTATTATTCCGATATGCTATTTTTTCTTACCCCTTCTATTTCTTGTTACCATATATATATATATACATATATATATATATAT